TTCACTGCGTTGCAAACTTCTGACTGAAATTATAATACCCTGCAAGGGTATAAAAATCCGATTTTATAATACAAAATAATATTTTTCTAAGTCAAGGAATCATTTCCGACCCCATAAACCATATACATATGGGCATTTCCACAGAAAGGTCAACCGCGGCCAAAACACTAAAACTTCTGTAAAATGTTTTTTTTTCCAACATAGTAACATTAGGAAAAGGCCAATTGATTAAATTTGAAGGGCTTTATCATATTCTAAAACAAATTTCGAAATATTCGAATGCATATTCGCGCAAACACGATTTTTCATTATTTTGATGAAAAACATCATAAAAATGGGCCTGTTTTCTTTTGTTAATTACATCCAAACCGAGGCACTAACTGTTGACTTTTGTTTACTAACATCACTAGAAGAATGCAAACTGTCGAAATAAAATAGATATATGCTCTTCCAATTTACTTATAATAGTAAAAATTACATGCAAAGTATGATGAAACAAGAAAGGAAGCTAACTTCGGCACGCCGAAGTTTGTATACCCTTGCAGATATTATTTCATTGCATTTTATCTATACTTATTATGTTGAGAGTTAGACAGTTACAGTTTTACATTCCCAGTTTTACATTTTCCCTACACCTACCGATCAGTTTATATGGCAGCTATATGATATAGTTGTCAGATTTTCATGAAATTTATACCAAAATTCTGAACTAATAAAATAAGCTTATATCTCAGAGTAGATAAAAATAGTTTGAAAAACAACGAAGTTATAATTTTTTCTATTAATTTCCTGATCGTTCCTATGGCAGCTATATGATATAGTCGTCCGATTTTCATAAAATTTTTACCAAAATTCAGAAATAATATAAAATGGTCATATGTAAAAAATAGTGCACATATGTTGAAAAACAGCTAAGTTATATTTTTTTTCTAAAAATTTATCGAACATTTGTATGGCAGCTATATGATATAGTCGTCCGATCCGGCCCGTTCCGACATATATAGCAGTGAGAGCATATAGAAGACCATATGCAAAGTTTCATTCAGATAGCTTTAAAACTGAGGGACTAGTTTGCGTAGAAACAGACAGACGGACAGACAGACAGACGGACAGACGGACAGACGGACAGACGGACAGACGGACATGGCTAGATCGACTCGGCTGTTGATGCTGATCAAGAATATATATACTTTATAGGGTCGGAAACGTCTCCTTCACTGCGTTGCAAACTTCTGACTGAAATTATAATACCCTGCAAGGGTATAAAAACATGTCGCGTGCGAATATGATTAAAATTAAATAAAAAATAAACTACGCTATATTTCTGCTTGTAAATTAAAGCATATGAAAGTGACATTATTGCATTATATTTTAAAATTTGTTTCATTAAAATAGTCCCTGCCGTTTCGTTGAAATCAGTGTTTAAACAGCTCGCCGCGAAAGTGACTTCTGTTTTTGTCGCGTGCGAATCCTTCAGTTTTTTTTAATTTTCTTAAAATTGAGCAAACACTCAAAATCAACATTTGCACCAATTATAGTCCTAGGCAAGAGCTATAAGTTAACATTTATAAAAATAAAAAAAATTAAATGTACCACACTTTTTTTTTGATTTGAATGCGTACGAATGTCGCGTGCGACATTATGGAAATGCCCATATATTCTTGGTCAGCATCAACAGGGGAATCTTTCTAGATATGTCAGGAAGAAATCGATTTTTTGGCCATTTTTGCGAAATTTCATAAGGGGTTCATAAGGGGGTCATTCAAATTAGCAAAAATGGCCAAAAATTTTGATTTCTTAAAATTTTAAATTTGGTATGCAGTTTTTTTAAATTAATAAAAACTAACACAAAACTGCTCTCCGAATCGAAATTAATGCATTTTTGGCTTAGTTATGAAATTAAATTTTAATTGTTACCTGCAAGGGTATACAAACTTTGACTGGCCAAAGTTAGCTTTCTTTCTTGTTTCCTTTCATTTTACCCAGTTATTTTTCATCTTCATTGAATTCTAATATTTTTTGTTATATATTTTTATAAATTTGTTTGCCTTCACGCCACCCCCTTGTTGCGCAGCCCCTGATTCTGTTTTTGTGAAATGTTGAATTTGGCCATCAGCTGCTCTCATTTTCCACCACAGCACTGCCTTGCTCCTCTCTCGGCTGTGGAGAGAGCCCAGTCGTTAGCCTTCGGTTCGGTTCGGTTTTTGTTGAAACCTATAAATACAAGTGCAGGCAAGCCATTCGAAACAAATATTTAATTTTTTCAAAATTTCGACGTCACGGCCGGTACACTACAGATCCTTCGTTTCGATATACTTCGTGGCGTGAGTTTTGAACAGTGAAGTGAGGGAAATATAAAAGAATTTTAGACAGAAAAGATAAAATACAGCTAACCTGGAACATAAATCTCAATAAATGTACCAGAAATTATGATTTTGTAAACATATTATTGTTTTGTACACGTACTTGACACAATCAAACTAAAATTGAAATAGTCTTAACTCAAATTTGACTAGAAAAACGCTGAATTGGCATTCGTGGCCGCCTGCCAGCTGAGCTGCAGCGTGTGGTGGGTGCCGTGAGATCTCGTGTGTGGCACATGGCGTATACTTGATGCTCGTTTCGCGGCTCGTCTTGACTCGTTTCATTCGCCGTTCAGTTGGTGAGCTAGTCACTGAGTCAATTGGTCGGTCAGTCGGTCAGTCATCATCTTTAACAGCAACTCCATGGCTCGCTCGCCTTGGGAAAGTCGTGTGAAAAGTGCCAAAAACCAAATATACATAAGTGTGTGCGAGAAAAATCGTGAGAAAATGCCGAAAAGAAAAATAAAAGAAAATCAAATAAAAACCAATGAGGAAAAATTAAAAATTTCAAAAATAAATCAAGTGTGACAAGAGGAGAGATTTCGTTCGAGGAGAAAGCTGGCTAAAAGCGAATGCCAAAACGTATAATAATCTCGAAAGCCGAAAAATTCTAGTGACGCGCGTTCAAAAGTGCAGAAAATGTGTGGCCATCGCAGTCAATCAATTGATTTTTCTTCAGGCGAAAAGTTGCTAGACTCCACTTTCCACTTATTCCGTTTGCTTTCTCCCTTTCCCTTTTTCCCTTTTCCCTTTTCTTTTTTTTTTATTTTGGCGAATCCCAAATGGAGCGTAGGACATTAATAATGCTGTCGCAGCATTTCAAACGATTTGTATCGGCGAAACTAAGATAAACACAGGCCGGGGAGAGGCAACAAAACAAATTGCTGAACGGAAGCCCAAAAACCAGATCACAGCCCCGAAACGAAGCCCCGAAAAACAGGGTCACCCAGCATATTATGATTGACAATGGCCAAAAGCGAGGGGGTTGGTAGCAGCAGCTGAAAACCACGGCGGCAGCGACGGGGGTTGCTAGTTAGTTCAAATGGCGTCAGGCGGGAAAAGTCGGGAAAAGCGTCGGCAAAAGCCAGACAACAGACGCGGCGTCGCAATAATCATAAAAGCAATAACAACACCGCCGCCCAAGAAATCATAAATTCATGTGTCAGCGATTGGGCTTCTTTATTTTCCAGAGGGGATTATAAGCGCGCGTGCTGCCTCCAAGGGTACGATATTCTTCACCCTTGATTATTCATTCAGCAGCCTTAATTAGCCAAGTAGTTGGTTGTTGCAGTTCCTTGAATTATTTGGCAGCTTGGCCAATTAGCGCCCAGAAAACCCCCAAAAAATATGAGAAAATACCTATAAACCGAGACAGGTGCCGCCACTCGCACACAAGAACGCACACTGTCACGTTTTACACTTGACTAAGGTCAAAAGTTGTCTCTCCAAAAACAGATAGTCCCCTGAAAATGAGAAAAAGTGAGATCCCATCTGAACTTGATGCTGTCGCTGAGGCTGCCGACGCATCGCGAGGCTATGGGTGGCTATTTTTAACAAAAAAAGCACGCCCGCACGGCCAATAAATTTTCCCAGAAAATGAAAAACCAAAGAGAAACAACCAAAGAAAAAAAGAAAACAAAAAAACTAAAGAAAATTTCGACTATGCAATACCCGGTATTGATCTTAGATAAATTATGTTGCATACCTCTGGGGGGGTTTGCTTAGCCTGGCTTAGAAAATATATAACTTTCTTTAAACTTTAAAGAATGAAGTAGAAATTAATGTGCTGCTGCTTTTGAGTTTTTTAATTTAATTTTAAAATTATTGTTTATATATTTATCAAGTTAAAGGCCTGTGAAATAAGGTAGCATTTTCTCTACTAGATATATTTGTTTATTATAGTTCAAAATATATATTTATCCAACTAAATATACCCTTGATTTTCCTTATTTAATGAGTATAAAAACAAAATAAAAAGAAAAACAGAGAGACTGAAAGCTGAAACATATATGTAGGCCGAGACATTCATATTAATTAAACTTTGCAAGTAGGGAAGCTTCTTTGAAAACTTCAAAACTCATCTTTTTCCGGGGTTGGAAAGCGCAAGAGGGGGAAAAGCGCGAATGTAGTTGTCAAAACGCACGCACAATAAACAAACCGCACGGCAAAGAGAGAGAGCGACAGAAAAAGTGAGAGAGAGAGGAGGAAAACCCCAACATGGCAGAGACTTTTCCGAGAGAGCACTTTCCAAGGAGGCTTCCGTTTCGGTTTCGCTTTCGGGCTTTGGCTTTGCTTTTGGGCCTTCCAAAATAACACATTCCTCGTACAAAGGATTGGATTCGCATTGACATTGGAAGCCGCTCGTTTCTCGCTCGCTTTTCCTGCTCGCTCGCTCGAGTTTGGAGTTTCCCCGACGCTTTTCAGTTCGTGGCTAGACTTTGGAGCGTGCTGTGCTTGGAAAAAACTGTGTGCGTGAGCGGCGGAACAGCGGAGTCCCCAGAAAAGGCCCCCCCACACTCCCCCAAAACACACACGAACACACACACACATACGAACACACTTTTACACCGCATTTTCCACCAGGCCAAATGTGTAATAAAATCGAAACAATGGAACAGCAAACAAAACAACAGAAAATATAATACCGAATTGAAGTTCACGTTTGAATTGTGAGTGAAAGGGGGCCCCCAGAAAAAAGAGTATTCCCCCGCAGTGAAATAAGGCGTGTTCCATCCGTACAAATACAAATACAAAAAGAAAAGCAAGAAAGCAAAGAAAAAGTATAAAGGAAATGCCCAAAAGGCAGACAGATAGGCTGACGGAAAAGGAAAATCCGCACTAGGACTCGCGCATTACCATAATGCTAATGCTACCGGGAGTGGAATATAAGTTTCTAGTTTCCTCGAGCCAAATGTGTAATTCGAAAAAGTTTCCCCTTCTATTTTCTAGCGCGTGTGTCTGTGACAAATAATTTCCTAAGGTCACATAAATGAAAATTCCCCCTAATACAATTTGGAAAATGTAAAATATATAAATCTATTCCTAACGCTAAACAACAAATAAACACAAGATCAAAAACTTAATCGACGCTTAACCGAAAATCCTTAAAATCTAAACAAGCAAGTGAAAATAATACTCTTTAGTTGGTGAGTTTATGTGTAATTTTTGTAAATAAACATTAAGAAATTTAAAAGTGTTTAACTATAAATAAAATTCTATGAATTAAGCAAGCAGTTTCAAGGGTTTAGTTAAAATAGGAAAGGCTATTTATATAAATTATCAGACATTCTAGAAGCTTTGCTTTTTATTAGTAATACTTGTGCTTTCATTATGGTTTTAATATAAGAAGTTTTTGATTATATACATTTCAAGTATTTTTTAATAAAATTTAAAACCTTTTCTTAATAAAAAGTTTCCTGAAAACAAATTAATTATAAATCTATATTTTTGTAGTCCTTTTAGAAGAAGAATACAGCTCATTTGTGTTTTTAATTTGAGTTTTAACTTCAAATTCTTGTCTAAAAAAATATCTAAAAAATAAAATAATTATTAAATACTTAAAAACAAAAATCTTAAATACTTTTCCCACTATACTTCTACCTCAAAATCCTTTTATTTAGCATTTCAAATGAAAGGCTTCACATTGCTCTCCGATTTTCCTTATATTCCCAAGCCTAGGCCTTATGAAATTATGCTAATTCAATCGATATTTCGACTCGTGCCGCACTTTTGGCAACTTTACGAGTCAATTAGCGTTTGTAATTCGACATGCTACTTACACAGGTTCTCCTCAGCCTTTCCCTCTCTTTGGGTTGTGTGGGAAAAACCTCTTTCGTTGCGTTTCAATTCGATTGCGGTCGGGGTTTTTATCGGCAACAATTACCCAAGCTGAGCAAACACATTTCCAAAGTTGTCAAACGGCCTTAATGGCACCTAGGCGGGATCCTAGATAAGGAATAAAAATAATATAATACTCATGCTAGTTGACAGACAAGCCAATAATCAAGTGATGTGCCGCAAATATTGTGATAAGGCGGATGCCGCCGCCAACTTGGCTCCCCGAGAACTTTTTCCCCAAAAAAAAAAAAAAAAAAATTTATGGGCACCGACAATTGGTGGGCGGGTGACGAGGCGTGGCCGGGGCCCATAAAATATACTTAGTCCAAACATTGTTCGCAGGTGATAAAATTGCTTTGGATGTGTAAACAACAACAATGCACGCTTCTTAATGGTTTGCCAATTTTGGTTCCGTGTTCGCAAAGGCGTGGTCGTCCTCGTTGTCTTCGGCTGTTGGTTGCCTTTCCAAAGCAATTTTCGCCAAAAGCTAAAAAGGTTTTCCAAAGGGATTGACGGGATTGTTGAGTGAATTTTGTGCCCGAGTATAAGAATAACCTTTAAGGATTATGGATAAGCAGTAAGTGCACTCGACACCGTTAGTGTTATCCATAAATAAGCTTAAACTAAGTGGATAAATAGGTTACCATTCAATGATATTGGCTATTTGTATTTAAGGTTGTTTAGGTTTTAATAACTTAGGTTTTTAGTTTTTATAAAGTCTTTAAATCATTGTCTTCATTGTTTTCTGTGTACTAATGGACTCAGAAATCAGATAAATTCCTTCGCGCACACATTTTATAGTTTAGGTTTATAATAAAACTATTTTACTACCCAAGTGGAAAGCTCTCTCGTGCTCCCCTTCTCTCTCTCCATCTGACAGTTACTGGCTGAATGGACAAGTCCGTGCCATTCATTCGGCCAAAAAGTTGGTCATGAAGGTTGTCCATAAATTTGGTAACGGACTTCTCTTCGCGCTTGTACTTATTTATCTTTTGCACAGTTGCCAGTTAAAGGCTATGAATTGTGTTGGCTGTCCAAATAAATACCAGACCGTTGCATTCTGACATTTTTATGGCACAGGAAATGGAAAATATGTTCTGATGATGACTTTACAATTGTTGTAAAATGTATAAAATGCGGCTTACAATTTTGTAAAACTCCTTAAAAATTCATTGAAATTCATATATGTTTTCAGGCCATGTTTAAGTTATTTGTCAACTCATTGAACACAAATTGCATTCTTGCTGAAGTTGAATCTCACTCGGAAAAGTCGGAAAATAAGTTTGTGTTGCCCTTTATCCTCGGATTATTTGTTAATTTTCATGGCCCATTAGGCGGGGAAGTTTAGCTTTCATTAGAGTTTTCCAAGTGTTGACAATCTCTTATTTGGTCCATTAAAGTTGTTAACTGGATTTGTGGCCACCACAGAGTTGCCAAAGCATCCGCTTTAGATATGGTTTATTGCAGGCAGAGAAAGGCATGTACTTAAAGGAAAAAATAATGTACTATAAACTATGTAATGCAATGTGCTTAAAAGAAATCTATAAAATATGCAGTGCACTGAGCGAATGGTAAAAGTTGCATTTGTAGACTACCTTCTTGAAAAATAAACTTGGAAATTATAGGTATAATAAATTATATAAATTCAGTTTATTTTCATATTTATAAATTCAGTTTAGACAATTTACAATTATCGTTATTATTTCAATAACGTTTTTTTTTTTCCGAAAATGCTTTTGAAAATTATAAAAAAAACTCTTAAGATATTTAAAGACCTAAATCTATTCTCTTTTGTTCTACGTAGTTTGAATTCTCATAGAAAATTTAACAAATCCTAAAGTTTAACTTAAGTAAATTCTATATTATATTACTTATATATCTACATATACATTTTCCTTATAAATCTCTTCATAAATTTCTCCAAGTGCAGATAAATTGGCTATGGATAGGTTTCTTCTGCCTGCACATTAGTTATACCGGATGTGCTTTTTTCTCAGCCTGATGACGTGCATACGTCGAAGTTTTGGGCTTATCTCTCTGCCCCTCTCTACAATACGTACATATATATAAATTTTTGTAGACCTTCTTAGTCCCCTTCTGGAACCCCGTTTCAGCCGCCACTTGAGCGGAGTCAGCGAAGCGCGCTTCCATTCATGTTTGGGGGCACATAATCAATATTTGGCAAGCAGCCGAATCGCATATGACAAACAGCGACAGGCCGAGAAGTACACTACGCGATATATGTATATATGTATATATGCACCACGGATATCCAAGTGTTACGGGGATCGGGGATCGCGGGAATGGCCCATTGCCATCCCATCAGCAAAGTGCATCAGCCCATTGAATCCTGCCTGCCTGCCTGCCTGCGAGTGGGCTTTTGATGATTTACAAAAACGGATTTTGTTTTTGCCGAGCTCGATACCCTTTTGCATAAATAAGATTCGCTTAGAGTTGATTTACTGAGTAAATTTGCCATTGAGTATGCAATTGTAATGTAAAGTGAAGGAAAACTAGGGGAACTGGGTTAAGAAAGGGGTTTTTATTCAATGAAAAAGGGTAAGAAAGTATTAAAAATTACTGGGGAGAGTAGAAAATACTTAAGGCATGTTTATTTTGTAAATAAGCAATTTTTAAATATTTATTTATGATTATTTTAGCAAGATCTTTCTCGTGAATAGCGAATATAACTTGTATTTAAAGTCTAAAAATGGAAATAATAATGGTAAAGCGTTTCTCCTAAGGCTAAGAACTCCCTAATAATTTTCCAATTTTCCTAGTTAGAGTATTTTTGCATTTCCTATAGACTTTTCACCGCTTAATTCCGCTTTGGGCATTTCAAATCAACTTCTTGTCGGAGTCTCGCTGGTTGAGCTTTGTGCCTCCTTTGGGTCCCGCGGCGATAACAATCAATGGCAGCGACAGTCAGCGGGTCGCTAGCTTTAGATATTATTGCTCTGGCCGTAGTTTTTTGGCACACATGCAATGGAAATCCATTTTCAAACGCCCACCCACCACCATGACTTTCTCCAAAATAGAAAACGTGGGAGTTCAAAAGTCACCGCTTTGTGACATGAGCCGCAAAGTGCATTCTGCATTCGGCATTCAGCATTCTGCAGGTGCAAGATCCTAGCGTGGGCGTACCCAGGCGCTCTCTCAGACGACAAACACAATTGGATTTAAGGGAAAGCTGACGGCAGCAACATTTTTTTTTTTGGGGTAAAACGGAGAAAATCGCGGCGAAAAAGCAGCAGCAGCCTGAGCAGTCAAAACTTTTGGGCTTGTTGTCGTCGTTCCCCCCTTTTTCCACTGGGCCTTGTTTGTCAAGGCGGCAGAGCTGCCAAGAAAACGGCAGCGTGCCACAAATTTTCCCTTTCAATTGGACAACTAGAGCGGCAAGAGGGGTTCCAGAGAAGTAAACAATTGCACTGGAAATAAAAATGGCTTTTCAGCTTAATGTAAAAAGGGAATAATCAAGAATGTTTATAACCTTTAAAGTCAAAAAGTCTCCTAGTTGGAGTGTAAATAATAATAAATAAATATTTTCAAATGTAAACTAGTTATTCAAGAATTTTTCAAGTACTTTCCCTCAGCGTAGGCGAGTTTAGATCTCGTTTCCGTATATGGAGACTCCACTCCCGGGGCTGTCACAGACTTCTGGAGCCTTAGCTCCAATACCGTGCCGGGGGCCTTGTGCCTGCTGGATTATTTATTTATGTACTTCGAGTGGATTGCATTTGCCTGCGCGATGGAGATAGAGTGCCAATTGCTCACGCCTTAGGGATTCCGCTTCGATTTGGTGCGCAACGCGGCGTATACGCAATGCGATTAATCTTTGCCACGCTACAAGGGCCCCCCGAAAACGAGAACGGAACAAGAAAACGAAGCTCAGCTCATTAGCATGGAAGTGTTGGGCGTAATGTGGGCAAGAAACTGTGCAAGATTAATTGTGGGTCGTCGTGACTGTTCATCTCCGCCTTCGAGGAGAGGAGAGGAGATCTCAACCATTTTTCGGCCACTTTTGGCCTAAGTGCCAGCGCATTTATGCTAAATGGCCAGCAAAGAATTGTCTGCGGCAACAACTTGAAACTAATTGCCTCTTGACTTTGTGTCCATCTCCAGGCAACCCCTCTCTTGTTTAGCTTTTCCAACTTTTCCACCCACCACCCCACCCTCTATGCATAGTATCTCGTCCCGAGGTCGGTAATTGTTCATGGAGAACTGCACTTAAACACACAACATTACCGGGAATGTGTGGCAAAATGCTCAAATGCAATTGCTTTTGCGGTTGTGCCCCGATGTGCGATGT